GGTGAGTTGCCCTCGGCCGGCGGAGCTCCAGTTACCTTCTTGTGCTTAACGGGACACGCTGTGTTCACCAGCAGGGTGAGAAGTAAGAAAAAAGCCCTGCTGGGAAGCCAGGAAGGCCAACTCTGTAAACCACTGCTATCTAGCTGTTCCTATACAGGGACAGGGCTGATAACAGGGCTATCAAGTTCCTGCGTAAACGACGATGTCATTCATGGAGTTACACAGATGAGCAAGTATAAAATAATTTAAAAAATGTAAAATACTAAGTAATGAAAACTCACGAGGAGAATTTGCAAGGCACACATGGGCTTTAAGGTCAGGGATTATAATAAAAATTAACAGATCTCATGTCAAAGATCAGTGGTGACACTATTTTATTGCTTGTTTTCAAGGAAGAGACGAGGTATGGGTGTCTCTCAATCTGTAACTGGATCCCAGCTGCCACTCAGGCTTCCTCCTCATGCATTTATTTTGTCTTTTTATTCCTGTTCCAGCAAGAGCAGCACAGAAACTTTACTCCCCCAGGCCTTTAAGGACCAAACTGAGGCAGTCACCTTCCATGACTTTCCCCATAATTTCCCCCCCACCTCCCCCCCATCTGGACCTGTCCAAAGAGTCAGTACAAAGCCTTGTACTTCTGTCAACTGAAAAAAAAAGCAGGGAAAGGGGGAGCAGAAACAATCAGTTCACAGTGCAAAATTATCACCTAAATAGAATCCAAACCAAGGAGTGATTGCAGGGACTTGAACCCCCTGTTTTCATTAAACCTGTGTGTGAAGCAAGAAGAGCATGAACAGACACAAACCTTTTAGTTTTGTCAGAAAGCATCCACAGAAGTGGTGTCATCATGGTCACAGAACCATCTACCTGGACTTGTGCAAAGTGTTCAACGCTGTTGTGCATGCCATCTGGTCTCAAAACTGGAAGGATATGGATTTGATGGATGGACCACTCAGTGCATAAGGAATTGGCTGGATAGTCTCAATCAAAGAGTAGTGATCAACAGCTCGATGTGCACATGGAGACCAGTGATGAGTGGTGTTCCTCAGTGGTCAGCACTGGGACCAGTGTTGTTTAACATCCTTGTCAGCAACATGGACAGTGGGATCGAGTGCACCCTCAGCAAGTTTGCTGATGACACCAAACTCTGGTGCAGTTGACATGCCAGAGAGAAGGAATGCCATCCAGAAGGACCTCAGCAGGCTTGAGAGGTGGACCCATGCCAACTTCATGAAGTTCAATAAGTTCCTGCACCCGGGCTGGGGCAACCCCCAGCACAAATACAGGCTGGAGGGCGAATGGATTGAGAGCAGCCTCGATGAGAAGCACTTGGGGATGTTGGTCGATGAAAAGCTCAACATGAGCCAGCAATGTGCCCTTGCAGCCCAGAAAACCAACCAGGTCCTGGGCTGCATCAATAGAAGCATGGCCAGCAGTTCAAGGGAGTCAATTGTTGTGAGACCCCACCTGGAGTACTGTGTCCAGTTCTGGAGCCCCCAACGCAAGAAGGACATAGGGCTCTTGGAGCAAGTCCAGAGGAGGGTCATGAAGATGATCCAAGGACTGGAGCACCTCTCCTAGGAAGACAGGCTGAGAGGGTTGGGGTTGTTCAACCTGGAGAAGGGTCTGGGAAGACCTTATAGCAGCCTTCCAGTACCTGAAAGGTCTGCAGGAAAACTGGGGAGCGGATTTTTACCAGGGTATGTACTGATAGGATGAGGGGTAATGATTTTAAGCTGGAAGAGGCTAGATTTAGGTTAGACATTAGGACGAAAAATTCTTTAGTGTGAGGGTAGTGAGACACTGGAACAGGTTGCCAAGGGAGGTTGTGGATGCCCCCTCCCTGGAAGTGTTCAAGCCCAGGTTGGATGGGGCTCTGAGCAATCTGGTCTAGTGGGAGGCATCCCTGCCCATGCAGAGGCGTTGGAACTAGATTATCTTCCAACCCATTCTATGATTAGAATTGTTTCTTGCTTGAAATTTTACATTAATCAGAACTCGGTTAAAAACAATCATTTATTTTTCTTGTCAAGTTGGGAGCAGTAGGAAAGAATACACAAAAATGATCCATAGGGATACGGAAAAAAGTAACAAAATATTTTTGACATTATTTAGAAAATGTATGATCTATAAAACCTGATGATCCAGAAGGTCTGCCCTAGTACATTGTTTCCAGGACCAAGCAACACGTATCAGTCTTTTAGGTCCTTGATATCCTTAGGAGTCCACGGATGCGTCTGACAAGAGCTTGAATAAAGGTGTATCGTGACCGAACCTTAGAATATAACCCTTCGATATCCAGAAGCTTCTTCTGCAGAGATTCACCAAAGCTGTTTGTGGCTTCAATCTGAAGCTGAGAAACAAGAGATTTGTTGCAGTCATGAATACAGAATCTTCTCTTTCTGGAATGTTTGCTTATCTGTCATTAACTACCTGTCAACATTTTACCACAATTTACTCTCTAAAGCACTTTCCAAACTACAATTTTTTTCTGACTGTCCTAGTAAGTACTAATTGCATTCTTCCTTTTTTTTTTTTTTTTCTAAATTATAAAATGTTTAGCCTTTCTACACAGTTTTTTGCATGACTCAGGGCATTTACAGGTCATCCAAATATTACCACCCAGCAACCTCTTTAACTTTTAGGAATTAAACAGCCTTACATAATTCAGCTTCTTCAGCTATAGTCATACCAATACTTCTAAACAAAATTTTCCTAGTCCTTTAAGGACTGTTTAGGATTTAGAGTCCATGCATGAAGACGACATATTTTCATTAATAAATATGCAAACAATTCCTGAAAAAAGTGTTATATTTTAAGTATTTTAGCAAGAATTTACTGTACATTTTACTTTGAACTAATTATATAAAAGGCAGATGCCTCATAAAAAAATACACAGAACTGTTTTTATAATCACAGAATCACCAAGGCTGGAAAAGACCTTTAAGATCATCAAGTCCAGCCTATGACCAACACCACCACATCAGCTAGACCATGGCATTAAGTACCACATCCAGGCTTTCCTTGAACACATCCAGGGACAGTGCCTCCACCACTTCCCTAGGAAGTCCATTCCAATGTCTAATGACCCCTCTCCCTGTGAGGAAGTACTTCCTAATATCCAACCTAAACCTTCCCTGGTGCAGCTTGAGGCCATGTCCTCTTGTCTTGTTGCTAGTTGCCTGGAAAAAGAGCCCAGCCCCCATCAGACTACAACCTCCCTTCAATAATTCTAAATCTTACAAAGGTATTTGAAACTGCACAGGTTTTTGATCAGTTTTTTTCTGCACTTAAATGTCAGTAGGATTTATTAATAAAAATTGTAGTTTTTTCTGCTACCTCTGCATCAAATTTACACAAACTAGTAAGTTGCTGTGTAACCAGAAATCAGTTATTTGCTAGCATTCACATTTTATAGCCTCTTCAGTTTCTTGTTGCCCTTTTTCATCTAATTTCTCTACAACCTAGCTGCAACTGACCAGTAGTAAACAGCTATAGGGTCACTGAAAACTGGGAATCCTGGCCTTGTATTAAGAGTCATGCAAGGGTAACTGATGTTTTCAGAAAGCTGTTATTAAAAAATACATACCATTTGACTGGTTTACAAGAGAAAATTCTTTTTTGTAAGTCTAACTAATTTTTCATTTAGCTTTTTATATTAAAGCTTGAAAATAATGTGTGCAGCAGCACAACTGCTACCTGCTTCAAAAAAATACTTTAAAAAAATCATTTATTTAATCCTACGTTAGGTTATATCCTTTTGGTGTTACCACAGGTTGTTCACAGGTGGGAAACCCACAGCCAGACTGCTCTCAGCTGTATGGTACTCAAGCACATCCTGTACTTCTCAGCAGACTGTCACATCTCACCTGCTCTATATCGTGCTGGCTCACTCGATTCAGTCCACTACTGAAATCCAAGTGGGGCTCAGAACCAAAGGAATCT